TTGTCCAAACTCGTCCCACCGCGGGGCGAAATTTTTAAAACTCATTTACATTTATTTTAAGTTACATTTATTTTTTAACATTCCTAGCATACATTATTAATTCTTTAATAATAACGGTTAATATAAACAAAATAAAGCATAAACTCATTTTTTTTAAATCCCAACTTTTATTTTGAAACAAAAAAAAAAAAAAAAAAAAAAAAACAATTTTGACCGATTTTTTGTAGATTTTTGCCACCGAGTTTGACCCGCCGTCGTAAAGGTTTGACCGCCTCAAACTGCCTCGGACCGCCTCAAACAGCCTAAACCCGCCTCACAGGCAAAAAACCGATTTTTCAAACTTTGACACTAAAATAGTAAAGGTTTGGGACCGCCTCCACCTCGGAGACCGATTAATCGGCCGCCTCGGCCGATTTTTAGAACACTGGGTGTAATACACCGAGTAACTTTAAGCCGCAGATCTCTATAAGTAACCATCTACTAAGCGCACATGCACATTGATGTTGCTATTATGTATAGATCAACAGTTCAATATCATCCGGTGTATTTCCCAGGGTGCAACATCTACAAAACCATCCCTTAACTATTGGGTAGATAGGATTCATCCCCTAAAATATTAATTACAACATTTACTCCCTCGAATTCTTTAAATTTCTAATATGATTAAAAATATTATCAAAAAGAATATATCATTACAAATATTGTGAAATGCACTACATCATAGATGTATTTTATACACAAGTTTAATGCATCATATACTTCTTTACATATAATTATGATTTTTTTATTTTTTTTTTAATATTTTATTTTCTTTAAAATATAACTTATTGTTGTAAATAATATAGAAAAGTGGATCTTTCTTTCCCAACACTTTAAAGGTTGTAACCTTCATATTCCATTAGAGATTCTCAACTTCTCACTACCCAATTATCCCCATAATTTGTACTGGTTGTAACTTCCTGGTGGTATTTGTCGTTTTTTGTATTCTTTCCTTCTCTCTTTCTCTTGTTGTTTACATTGTAATCTACCATATTATTCCACAATCATCAAACCAAAGCGTTAGATACATAAGCCAGTTTACAACCCTTATTTAATTTTATTTTTACTTTATTTTAATATTGATTCATTATTCTTATATTTAGGATGTAGTGTGATATAGACTAATCGTCCATATAAGCTTTATCCGCACAAGTAAAGTGAATTACACATAAAAAGCGCAAAAAGGGCAGCCCAAAAACTAGAAAGTTCAGTCCAATTAACAGAATGTACGAAACCCCACCAAGAAGAGAATGTCGTTCAGACCTTACGACATGAGCTAACACGAAAGGTCACAAGATGATACGACAAGACCTCGGGTCGGTGTTTTAAACGAGCTAAGGCATGTATAACCTAAAAGCCATTAAATGTAGCAGACCCAAATCAGCTGAGAATTAGTTAAAGCCTAATGAAGTTGC